CTTCTCGCGAATGTAGTAACAATGTCTCCCTAGGAAACTAGTCCAACAATTCCGCATCGCCATTATATTCGCGATGATTCGTGTAATCGACCGGTCGCTGGTTTGTTTCCGCGCTTTTGCTCACCGGATGTGGGTTATCTCGAAAGAGAAAAGTCCGCACGAAGGAAGGCAGCGGTGAATTTCTCGTGTTTTACGAGGCGTCGTTATAAAAGTCGACCCGATCGAGTTTTGCTCTTTAAACATACGGTAAAATTAGAAATGCGAGGTCGACGCTAAGTTTACGCGATTTGCCCATCGCGCGACCGTTATTCTTCGGATTGAAACGCCTTCGCAAACGATGCCACAGACATGTCCGGTGCATTAGTAGAAAGCTTGATCATTTTGTGCCGCTGCTCGAACAAAAGCAAACGGCGATTCAACTTCGAACGGTATATAAATGGATATCTCCTGTCAATTTGCATTATTTATGTAAAAAATGAAATTGTATTGAGCTGATTATAGAAAATACCGCATAGAGCAAACATAATAAAATTTTAGAAATATATAGTTGTACAATAATAATTATAAATATAAATATAAACATAGACAATTATAGAATAATAATAATCACCGACTTTTAAGATTCTCGCACACATAAATATAATTTTAAACTTCCAAATTCTCTAAACAATTATTTATATTTGCATATATTTGCATAAACATACTCGCAACAGTTTCATACATAAAATGTTAACTCTTTCAAATGTTTTATGTCCTTTTTTTTCCTATTTGAGAGATGTTAAATGACCGAGTAAGTTTGCTTTATAGTTTCGCGTAAAGTATATTGTGCGGCTCAGGGTTAAAGGTAAATATGTGCACCAAGGTGCGTCCATCGGGATGCATTCTACGCATTAAATACATAAGATCTGACTTTTCAGTGGGAGGCGTGTCTTCGATTATGTTGGAATGTCGAGAGGTGTTAGTGGTGGACCGAAACCAGAAGAACAGCTCGTAGAAGGTGAACCTGAATTGTTGAGAGGGTCGTCGATGCTGCTTGTCCTGTGGACCGGTGCCCGACCTTGTTTCGGTGGAACCGGACCAGTTTTGCCGATAACATCGCCGCAGAGAAGAATGATCCCGGCGCAGAATCCTATGCGGTCCAGGATCCACTGTTACAAACTATTGATCTGCATTTTCTCCACGCATTCAATTTCGCAAATGCGGTATACACACTGGGTGTCTATCCAAATCTTGTAAAGAAGAACTTCTTGTAAAAGGTTTAATTTTCCAGATATTTTTTTGTTCCAAATTTCAGGTAAAAAGAATCTATTTAGATATTTTTAGTAAGTACAATTTTTAAAAATAAGTTTTCTTATTGTTTGTGTATATTTTCTAATGCCTTTCACTCGGAAATGAAGGAAAAATAAAAAGCCACTTGAGTTTTAAAATTCTAGATTTGAAAAATCAAAAAACTGAATAGTAAGATAAACATTTTTACCTGCATTTTATTTTTTATCGATACGAAATATTAATTTAAAAAGTATGTACTTTTATATTCTATTAAGATATTAATATAAACACACAAAGATAAATATATATGTATTTATAATATTTTAAATTCATATAATACGTAACTTATTGTTAGTCAATTAGTGAATTGTGTCAATTTGTTACAATATAAGAACAAAGATATCAAAGAGAGAATCCTTTTTTAAAAAATTCCAATAAAATTCCATTAAAATTCCGTAATTTTGTCAAGTATTGAAAAAAGAAATCTTTGACAATTCCAGATTCTCCATGTTTTTTTAAAGAGATCCTGAGAGATTATAATCAGATTTCGAAATTGACCTCTTTTACTCGGTTTTTTTAAAGAAAAATTTTGTATAATAATTATAATAAATACATATATTTATAATTTTATTGGTTGCATTTATAAACATAGCTAAATTGTTGCAATTCGCGATATGAGCTTTCCTATTAGAATATTAAGTAATATATTAGTTGAATAATATGTGAAACCGATAAAAAATACTTGAAAATCCTTCAAATATTTTAATAAAAAAAGGTAACATAGTAATAACATCTGCAATGGATGTGGGACACGATGTTACGAATAGACTAGCTTACTCTTTACTTGTATCATATCGATGGCGATAAGTAGGGAATGAAATCCGAGAGCCTGGCAAGTTTAGAAACTGATTAGTTAAATAAACGAACGAGACATAGCTTTCCGTTTAATAGATATCACTGGCGAACGTCTCAAGTAGCTTGATCAAAGCGTTGTGTTATACATATAAACAATAATATGTAAAGTATCCTTCAAGTATCTTCACTGTTGCTATTTTAATCTTAATCTATTGAATAATGGACGGCTTGATTACATTAATTAATCAGCTAGCATTCTTTAAATTTTTTTCCTCTGAAAATGTATGCATTTTTTAACTGTTTAAAGTTGAGAAAAGTTGACTTTATATCCGTCAAAGGGTATTTAAAGCTCGCACAAACGATTGAGCGTCGTGATATGAATGCGCGCAACAGCGGGAGTGCGCACGAATGGCGAAAATGATCATCGCGCTAACAACGTTATAACTTACAACGCGAAAACAGAACGGCGAGAATTACTCTCATCATGATTATGACCTTCGTTCAATTAGCGCGACGAGCTGGTACCGAGCTGGGACGCACGACATACCGGGGCGCCCACGTGAAAATGATCCATCGTGTCGCAGCTATTGTCCTCGGTTGGATCTAGGCTCTAACTCGGTCATGCGAAACTTTTACGATGATAATAAAACCCCCGCCTACTATCCGCACCTCCACCTTTCTCTGGCTCGCTCGATCTCTCTCTCTCTCTCTTTCTTTCTTCGTCTCCCACTCTCGTCAGGAATCCGAAAGAATGCTGGCGACCTCCACCTTGAAATTACTTTTCGGTTGTATGTGTATGTGCCGGGACCACCTTCCGAGCATGTAAAAAGACGGTGGAAACCCTTCTGTGAAATTCCTTATTGGAAATTACGAATTCTTGACATAGAATGCATTTCCTCTTGTGTTCGCTTCGTTTTCTACGAGAGTTTGGAAGAATCATTCCGTCGAAATATTTTCTTCAAGAGAGCAAGCCTTAACGTTTGCTTTAAAACTCGAAAATCTTAAGAAGAGATATTTGAAATTTATTTTTTACTCTCAAATCAATCCTTGATACCGGAAATTCAATTTTCTAGAAGAAATTTTGTCAATTTCTTAGAATATCTCTCTGGAGATATTTGTTGTGGATAAAACTGAACGGGAAGGAGACACATAAGATTCTATGACCAAGACGAATTAGATCTTTCTAATTCGAGTCTTGGCACGGACACCGTTTGCACCCGTTACTGCATCGCCGTTCCAAGTAGGTTACGAATACGAGCGTGCTTTGAGAAAGTAACAGACACCGTCCAACTGTCGTTCCACTCGCTATGATTAGGCGCGTACATTCGCTGCGATATGATAAAAAGAAAAATTTGTCAAAACACGCAAACATACAATATGTTTGTGATTTAAGTATCTACACTCTCAATTAATTTTTTAAATAATACAAGTAATCAAAAAATGTGCTAAACAGTTTGTATAAAAGTTTTTTGTTTAAGAAAATTTATATGATGGCTTTAATTGAAAATTTAAATTATTTTTTTAAATGTTCATGACAGTTTTAAATGGAACAATATACTTCATAATTTTGTAAAGTATTTTATGACAAATTCGATAACGTGCAATAAAATGGGATTTTTAATAATCGTTCATAAATTATATAAAAGATAAGTTAGGAAGATATCGATATCGTTGTACTTTTCTTAAAGAAAAATCGACTTTTAACTCGGAAAATGTTAGAAAAAATCTGCATCAATTAATTTCGCTTTTCCACTATTTGCTTAAATTTTATCCTTCTTCTCTTCTTTAAGCAAAACAATTGTTTTAAATATATATTTTGGTTAGTTATAATGTATTCGATTTAAATGTATATACACTCAGTTAAGTTTTAAATAATAGGGTTTGTTTTCTTAAATAACAGGATTATTTTGTTTTTTCGCTCATATCTAAAAGCGCAAAACAAGTTAACAAAAACTCTGCGTGTGCCAAATTCCTAGAGTCGAGTCTTCCGCGCGATTTCGAGGCCAGAGAAGAACGGGTTTTACTTCGCGGATCGCAAAGATTCCGATCGCGATTGATTTACGATGCGAGAAGAGGGACTGCCGACTCTATTTTTACAATGACGTTACATTGACGTCGCTTTAATGACACGTGCGATTAAAAACTCAGAGGCGCGTATAACGTGCGAAATCACACGTTGTGCAACGAGACCAAGTCCAAGTGTTACGCGGTTTGAATTCCGATGCAAATTTACAGGATTACACGCTCATAAAATTACACGTCTGCCGCGATCGCGATCGCGTAGAAATACACACACACCCACATGACACACAATTGTAGATATAATATTCCCTCCTGCGGAGGTGGAGCGGATATTACCGTGAAATTGCGGTACTTGAGCGGTGCAGCGGTCTTGGACGGCGTGTATCTGATTGAGGGCTACATTTACATTGTTATGCTCATTGAGCGAATTAATGCGCCGTCCATAATACGACGCAAGGACGCGAGGAAGACACGTCCTTGACGTGCCCGGAAATTAGAAAAAGTGATTAGAAGCGATAATAAGATATAAATCATGCGCGTATCTTTCAGACATCAAAGTGTGATTCGGTTGAAGAAATATTGAAATGAAATAAAATTTTGAGGAATAGTCTATATAATTTGCGTTCGCAAGTGGAATGCGTAGATTCTCGAAGGGTAATTTTGTAGGTCGCATCATTATGTGAAGTATCTTCTCAGGCAACATGCATATCTAAAAGACAGCCAGAAAATATCTTGAAAATGTCTTTGAGACGTCTTGGGATGTCCTTTGAACGTCTTTTAGATACACGTCCTGCCTAGGTCGTATATATTCGTTTCTTCTCTATTACTACTTGCTTCATTTTTTGTTCGCTTACTGTCAATTGTCAATGATTGCGTGGGACCAACGTGGAATGTCGCATCGCTAGGATGAGATGCGGGGATCCTGGTCCTCTTCCGATGCTCTCGCTTCGGTATCCGGTACTCTTACATTATGTACGAAACGTCGCTCCTCCGTTTTCATCTACGACGTATTTTCAGATCGACCCGCGTCTTCAGCTTTGATGAGCGGCAGCTGTAGCGGCCGTAAACCCTCACTTGGATTCGGCGAACAGGAGCACCGTTTTAGCACGCACGGCACATCGATCTCACGAAGGATTTGTTTTTGTTGCTTTTCTGCTTCAAGATTCAAACTCGAAAAATTAGATTTAAATTAAATAATCAAAAATACTGCTGACTTTTTGAAATAATCACAAGGCATTACGGTCGTGACAGAGAAAAAAAGTAACGAGAGTAAAATAATGTCACTCTATATTAAAAAAAATTTCTAAATACACTTATATGCGTTTCGCTCGCGTATCTAACAATAAGTAATCGAGTATGGAGAACGTGACGGAGAACGCGAGCAATACTGCCGCGAGGAAGCCCGGAGCGGGACTGACTGGCAACCAGGATCCATTTGGGTCACCGGCACAACGTAGTATACCAAAAGACTGCCTCTCGACTATACTATCTGTTATAACCGCGGAGTGAAGGTGCTACGTGCGTTATAACGGAGCTATATCTTCGCCGTTCGGTTTTTCTTCCGGTTTTGCATCTCGTTTGAGATCTCCCTCGAATTATTCATGCGCGAAAGATGTCCGAAAAAAATGTAAATTACTCTATCGACATTTTAAAGCTTCGGATATATAAATATAAATAAAAATACGTTCTCGTCTTTTTATATATAATCGCTTTTACGCATATTTTTTCGCATATATATTTTTATAATCTCTTTATTAAAATTACGATAACATTTATATAATACGAATAAATAAATGAATGTGCGATTTTATTCGACATCGCGTAGAGAGGAGAGAATTATTGTCCAATGTGCGTGCTACGAAATATTCATTAATCGATAAAAAACTTATTTAAATATGAAGGAATTAATGTATGAGAATATAAATATATATAATAGTCGATGTTGGCACAAATGTATCTTGCGTTTGTGATTAATTTTAATAGCAGGACGAATGAACGCAATGCACGATTAAATATAATACTTGTACGTTCAAAATTAAAAGTAGCGTGCGCAGATATGATGTAATATGCATACATATATAAATGCGCGATATATATACATTTACATATATATACATATAAATGAGCAATATATATGTATATACATATATATTATTGCATATGTAATATTAAGTACAAGAAAATTATCACAAGTACGTGTATTCCATTGTGTGAAATGAGGCATCATGCTATTATATTCTCGCCAATTAATTAATAAATGCATACCTACCATTTTCATTGTTGTAAAATTTAGCAAATTATAATATATATTTGCATGTATATATGTTTATAGTTTGTGATATATGCAAATTACATTTTAAAAAATTCATATGCTAAAAAATCGATAATTGTTTTTTGAAACGAGTAAAAAATGATTTCTATTCCATAATACTAGGAACATACATTATACGCCTCTTAAAATATTTTAATGCCTCTTCACAGATTATACACGTAATCAAGCTTTCGCTTGATAGACATTCGAAAGTTTGCAATGTCAACAGATTTAATTTATACCGCGCGAATCAGTGTATTAAAAATATATATATATATCTATTTTTTTTATAGATAATACTTTTTGTTTTAAGAAAAATAGGCTTTTATAGTCTCATGAGGTATCCAATGTCCATCGAGAACTCTTCACTTACTTGGAAACGTAGAAGTCGTAAAGTTTAAAATTGATAATGCAATGGTATGGAAGTCTTTGGTTTAAATTCTACGTAATGCGAATAGTCTAATTGCAATACGACGTAATTATTGTTGACGAACGCTCTTCTGAACGGATACGCGTTTCCTTTAAATAGAAGAGGACACAAAGGCGGTTTGTTCGCGGTTTTCGCCGTTCCATTATCGGTCATGTCCCATAAATCGATCATTTGACATCCCTGTGGTCTGTAAAAAATAAAAAAAGATTTAACATTATTATTATAGTTACATATTTTTGTTACATATACTTACAAGTTTGCAAATCCAAGGCACAGCGGTTCCTCTAATACGACATAACTGACTTTCATATTTCTTAAAGAAGTATATACAGAAGTAGCATCTTTTCGACTGAAAATCTCGTAAACCTTCATAGTTCTATCTCTATAATACAAGCCGTGTATAAATAATTAAATATATCACATATGTGTACGATTTTCATTTCTAATCTAGACCTCACCTCATATCTTTGCTCTCATAATAAGGATTATTAACAATCGGTCTTCTAGTAGACAGCATTAAGTTCGCCATAAGTGACATCTTTCCCGCGAATACAGCATGCTTTGGTGTATTACTTTTTATCCATTCAAATAGCTCCTCTTGTTCAATATTGCTATATTCACCTGCATAATGATAAAATGCAATTGTGATTTTTTCTTGCAGGAAAAAAATCGATCAATTTATAATTTAATTTGATAATATGCTTACCTACAAATCCTCGTTCCTCTTGAAATCGATCAATACCGTAATATGACATACCACCCAAGAGGAGAATAAAAATGGCAAGCCGCATGAGCTCACCTTTTAAACCAATTTTTTCCAAATATCGTTTGCTACATACTGCACCAGCTATTATACAAAGATGTGGAGTCATGAATAATTTCAGTCTCATAATAAAAATGGCCATGATGATAAAAGCGCCGGTTTGCAGACCGTTATACGCCATATCGGCTTCTATGCAAAGCGGATAGTTGCTCGTCTTGAAACTTCTGTACCAGTAATACAGCGCGAGCATTCCAACGAGTATCGCTGTTGGTAGTAATAAAGTCCTAATGATTGCTTCGTAGGTTTTGTATTGCAAAAAGTCAAATTCTGACGAGCATGTATAAAGCATAGTATGAAAGTCTCTATAGTTGATTAATTTAGACTTTAATATGTTGAACACATGAGCGTCATCTTGAGAGTATAAAATATAAGACTTTATCCACTTTGTGAGAATAATCGTTATAGCGATCTCAAAAATAACTTCTCGTTTGACATTTTGGAATCGGGATAACTTCATTATAAAACTGGCCACATTGCTACTGATTATGATACATGTATAGAGTGAACAAATTATGAGAGTGCCGTTTGTTATTTTAGTTGATGCTGCGATAGCTAAAGCATGAGCCGTACAAAAATTTTTGTAAAAATCGTACGGAACGATTCTCAGCCATTTTAGTATAAGAATTGCTATAATTTGCGTAGTAAAAACAAAATGTGAAAACTGCCAGGTGCATAAGCTGCAAATTGTTGAGCCAAATATATCCTGAAAAGAATATAAAATAATTTGACTAGCAAAGAAATAATCTCGTGAACTATAATAAATAATATTCTCTTTTTCTCTCATATGTTACCATGAATAATCCTTGTCTAGTTCTGTGCCTTAATGAAGTTGGCTCTTTGCCCAAATCATGTTTTGCATATTTTCTGATAGTCATTGTAACACTGTACATTTGGAAGAGCAACATAGGATACGCGAAGGTTTCGCGCAATGGTGGTGTCCATTGAACGCGAGTACATTCAGTGTGATTAAAAAAGAAGAACAGAATCGTCACAAGTCCACCATAAATGGAATCACTCAAATAGGTTGCATAGTAAAAAAGTATTGCCGCTGTGAAAATTGTGGAAGACCAAACTATCTCCAAATAGAAGTACACAGGTACACCCAGACCTTCGCAGCTACTTACGGGCATCAATCCAGCTCCTCTATCTATCTAAATATGATTGACTTGTGATTACTCTACAAGTTGAATCTGTATCATAAAAAAATTTCTAAAAATCTTACCTGCCAACATTGCTCTTGAGATATAACACCAAGACTTTTTGCAATATGATAAAGGAAGCCTGCTACAATCTATAAAATAAATAAGAAATAAGATCTCTCTATAAGAATTTATATAGAATTTTTTGAAACTAATGAAACAAACTTCAGGGATTTCACCAAAAGAATTAGTTTTTTGTCAAGAAATTTGTGATGCTTTCTTCAAAGGGACTGTTTGGACTATCTGTGATTTAGGCAACTAGTTATATGTCTGATAATACTATTTCATTAAATGAAATTTGAAAACAAAAAATAAAAAATAACTCTCTAAAGTTTGTCCCATGTATCTTGAATACTTTTGTATTTCAAATCTTGAAATAAAGAATAATTTGTAATTACTTCGGGTAAAAGATTATACTTTCTGCTAGCATCAATAACATTCCCATACTCTGATAGATTGTCATGACTGAGCCTATCCATCCCGTCAAAAAAATCTTTCGATTCAGCGATGGTCTTGTAATAGGAGTAATACATCCCCTAAAAAAAGGAAAGATATAAATATTAAGATGTTTAAATCTGTCATTATTGGTATGATGCTTTTTACATACGTATAAATATGTGAAAGCAGCTTTAAAATACACAAGTTTTAAAAATAGTTTTGAGAATATTCGTATAAAGTCAATATATATATTATTTACTAAAAAGCTTAACAAATAATGTCATTTTGTTATTTATTGAAATATTTCCTTGTATACTTGTACATTTTCTTCGCTTTTCTACACTTTTTTTCTAAATAATGTACAAAGTTTCACATGCTTTATTCAGATAGTTGCGATTTTAATTTGACAGAAGACAAAAATGTTTGATCGATAAAAATATTTCTATTTCTCATCTCAATCAATTTTTATCGCATATACATATCTTTCTATGATTGGAATTATATAAAATATCACCTACTATCGTACCATCTCGGTCCTGAAGGACATTTCTCGCTCGATCTCCGAAAGATGAGAGAAGTGTCGGTCATTTTCGAAGAGCGTGGATACATGCCACCGATGCAAATAACCAAAACCAAGACCTGTTGTTGGAGCAAAGGTTGTTTCATTTAACGATGCTTCCGCTCGTAGATCACGCCAGCTGCCCGATCTCTTTATGCACGATAAAACGAGTGTTATTACCCAAAAGATTTACAGCCCAGTGATAAAAAACGGTGCTCTCGTGCGCCGGTTTCTCGACCGCTCTGCGCCTCCTGTCACTTTTCGTCGCCATCTTTAGGTCTCTGCTTTATAACCGCATCACGTCACGCACTTTCTGCACTTAAAGCGAAATAGATATATGCAAAACACGTCATTGGAGAGAGAAAGAGAAAATATATAAAAAGTACAGCTGACGTCTGTTAATTCGATTCACACATGACGATCAAAGGAAATCAGACAGATAAATGATTCCATAAGAACGCAATGTACACTGCTGTCAGAGCCATCTTGTGAGTCTAATACCGAATTATTACTTCCGCCATATTTAAATTATTATCCATTGGCTTGCCCCGTCTTTCTTGCCGACTTTTAAAATAATAAATAATTATATTATATGTATTAAAATATATAAAAATTAGTTATATTATATATTAAAATATATAAAAATTAGTTATATTATATATTATATATATTATATATTATATATTCTATTATATTATTATAATTAATAATTTAATATTTCTTCTTCTTATTATTATTCATTATTATTATTATTATTATTATTATTATTATTATTATTATAGTATATCATTATTTAATTTAATTTATAGTTATTTGATAATTATTTTTCTGTGAAACGGTTCCGTTTATTTGTATAATTTATTCATATAGCGAAATATTTAATCAAAATTTAAGTTAAAATATGCATGATTTATCATTCGCAATAAATATTTGATGAAATTAATAATCAGATTCGATGCTCAAATTATACGAAAAGAGCATTGTTTGTAAATAGAGTTTTGTATATCCAATCTCCATTTCCATCAGATTCCAAAGTACACGGTAAATCTATATGATTCAAATATCATCAAACTATCTATTCGAAATACGCGGCTTTTATCATATGTAATATTAATTAAACGTAATAATCATTTCGTCTGTAATAACAGTCTCTGCCATATCGCATGCCGCGACTACTCGGTAAACACCAAAGTTTCTCACGTCTCTAAACTAACTGTGCAATTTCCATCTCAAATTTCCATTACTATTTATTCTACAATAACTCGCGTTTATTCAACGCATGCCGCGTTAAACATACCTGCTGATTATTTTCATCGTTTATTCAAAGTAATCGTTCGCGGCGAGCGAATTTGTCGCGCATGCGCGTCACACTTCACGCCGGGAGTCAGATGTCAAGGTTCGCGCTCTTTTTTACGCAGCGAAATTGTATATTTTATAATTGTATATTAATTGCATCGCGTCCGAATCGGTATCGAGAGTGTCACGCGCGATGCCGGATATCATCGCAACGTGTTAATTAGTTCGGCAAACACGATTAAATGCATTTTCGAGTCCATTATGTGACCGAGCGTGTCTTGAACACCGCGTATATGTACAGCGCCTATTTGTCACAGAACTATTGAAATTGATCGCGATTCACGTTGCAAGCGAGAGACGCGTTGATAATAATGACAAGCGAGTGAATAAACAGTTGACTGTCATGACAAATTTATCGAGGTAAATAGTACGAATTAATTACTATTGTATAATTGTCACGCTCGCCATTCACTCGAAATATCTGTCTAGTGATGCGCAAAGTCGCCGCGAGTGGCGCGCGACTCGCGCGTACGCGTGAGCCGCGCATGCGCGTCATACTTCACGTCGTAGATGTTCGCGTTCCTTTTTACGCGATGAAATTGTATATCGCGTCCGAATCCATATCGAGAGTATCACGCGCGATGTCGGATATCATCATAACGTATTAATTACTTTGGACAAACACGATTAAACGCATTTTCGGGTCCATTATGCGAGCGTGTCGAATGTCGCGTATATGTACAGCGCCTATTTGTCACAAAACTATTGAAATTGATCGCGATTCACGTTGCAAGCGAGAAGCGCGTTAATAATAGCGAGTGAATAAACAGTTGACTGTCATGACAAATTTATCGAGGTAATTAGTATGAATTAATTACTACTGTGTAATTGTCACGCTTGTCATTCGAAATGTCTGTCTAATGATGATGCGCGAAGTCGTCGTGAGTGGCGCGCGACTCGCGCATGCGCGTCATAATTCGCGTGCCTCGCGCCGGGAGTCAGACGCCGCAAAATCGTTTCGTGTCGTTCGCGTTTCTTTCATGCGATGAAATTATCATTATCGATTAGTATATCGCGTATAAATTCGATCGCGAGAGTGTCGTGATCCCGGACATCAGTTTAATCGTGTCCATCAACTTGGGCGAATATTTTCAGCATCGCAATTCCGTCGGTTTGTTCTTAAACGCCGCGCATGCGCGCCATATGCTTCGTGCGACTTCGCTCTGGAAAATCTCTCGATAATATTTGCTCCATAAAAGTACATTTTGCGTGTGAATCGGTGTTGAGTGTCGCGTAGCGCATTAATTAGTTTGTATAATCGGCATTAATCGTGTTTCCGTTCACAAAGTGCATCGAGTGAATAAACGATCAACTGTCATGGTGAATCAATTAAGGTAAGTGATACCAATTAACAGCTGGCGGGTGATATTTGAGTAAATTTGTGAAATGCAATTATGTCGACTCGGAATTAAACGGTCCAACGTTATTGGTCTAAAATGAACAGTAGAACGATCGTTAATTGATACATGTGTTAATTGATTCGCGTATAATTAACCGCATTTTCTCGTTCACGTGATGGTATGGTTCGATCTCAGTTTATATCAAGGTCGTCGATGCTCATCGAGATCACGAATGTACAGCCTAATGGTTCTGTAATAAAATAATCTGTTCTCATAAAATTTCAGCATACACTTTTCATCAATAATGTATTATAATAATTATAAATATGCACATAATATATACATAATTTATACATAGTTTTTATATAACTTATCGTATAAAAGTAATATTAATCAAAGTATAAAAAATGATGCATGAGAAAAAGAGAAAATAATTCCGTTTATTTTATTGAAATTGATATGTGTGCGATCCGACTAATTACATATTGAATATCATTACAGCTCAACAGCCTCAAACGTGTTGGCAACAATACGAAAACGAGAAGATTCGTTTGTGTGTGCGATTACAATTAAACGTAATTTCCACTCGCATCCACGTGACTTGATTGACTTTAGGATAAAGCATTTCAAGCAGAAATTGACACCGAATGGAATATACATATAACGACGGGAGTATTGTGGTTGTACAACATTCGCAGTGAGTAAATTTATTCAATTTATTACATTTCATTATTTGCGATGATTTATTTCATTATTTGGAATTGTTCGGCAAAATTGCCATACTTCATATATTCCAGAATGTAATCCGTTTTACAATACCGCAAGCTTGTTAAATCAAAATTAACAGAATTAACGAAACAAAAATGTCGTTTATTTATTTAAATTTATTCGGATAAATAAAACATGGTTGCAAATGCAAAAATACGACGGATATTCATACAACAGTTTATGCTATAAAGATAATAAAGAAAAATATGTGACAAGTATAATTTTCTTTATTTCATTACCAACAGTATTCTTACATCATGCCGAAACAATGTATAGTATCTATATTGTAATATATTTATGTATAATCGTTAATAATTACGATAGCAGTAAAGAGTCTGTAATAGGCGAGTTTGTAGATGTTGTTAGTAGATGTGTGAATTTAATTTTTTCATTCGATAATTCGAATTCGCTTCTGATGCGTTACTTACGTAATTGAACAATTTTTACACCAAAAAGTTTCGATGTAGCGAGTTTAAGCGGTTTCTTTGACGAATTACGCTCTTATAATTGGAACAAACATTGCACATTCATCATATTAATTATCAGTCACGCGCGATAACATAATTTGATCCGTTCAATTTTCCACTAAATTAAATATGAAATATGTGCACATATATCACAAATATTTTGATATGGAGAAATTAAGTTAATTAAAGTTTTTCACCTTATATAATATTAGACACATACAATACACTCTCGCTTTCTACGTTTTATTTTATTATACTCTCTAAATTAATTAATTTTAATCACGATACGTTTCTTTAGCTTTTGATTTTTTGAAAGAGTGTCAAAGTGTATACAAGACGTAGATCGTCGTGGTAAACTACTACACCACGTTATGATTGGTAGTCGATTTTTATTGCGTAGCGTGTCTAGATTGTCGTCGAGTCTCGCCGGAAACGAATTCGGAACTATCGATTTTCTCCAAACCTTCTTTGGCCGTACTTTGTGTGCCTTAAGTTCCTTCTACTTCGAGGCATAGCGATACTACCGATACTACGACGAGAAAACAATTCCTTTTGCCATCACGGGGGACCCGTGATTAGTTTCAAGAGTCCCCGATTAATAACGTTTCGGACAGCGCGAAACGGCGCCAAGTTTTTCGACCGCTCTATCCCCGGATCTATCTCGTTTCTCCGAGTCTCTCTCCTGGAATTACTCCCAAACAATTCCTTATGGACACTTTATACCCGAAACGAACGAATTTCGTTTTCCTGGCGTGCCCGAAACACAAGCGTTCGATCGACATACATACTCGTCGAAGATTGCGACTTCCATTAAAGTTAACGGGCTTTAAGTAATAACGACGAACGCGAGTGAAACGAGAGTACGAAAAATAGAGAATGGCGTTTTCTTTCTAAATAATTGGACGATGATCGTCGTCGAGATCGGCTCGACGAGTGGGAAAAATTGGAGCGCGATGAAATGGCCCTCATCCATGGCAGAAATTTATCGGAGAAGGAGTTTGGTCGGAATTAGACGGCGCGGCGGCATCAGTTGTTCAGTTTAATAAGTTATCATTTTCTTTAGGCGTGTGTCAAGCTACAGAAGGAATCACAGAGAACAACGCTCGATCGAGAGACGGCAACGTCACCATCCGCCGTGTGATTTTCGCGCGCGATTTCCGCGCTGTCCGCTTCGCGTGCGCGAATGATTAATGTTGCTGCTTCCTCAGCAATGATATGCATAGAAGAGCGAGGCGGGAAGCCAGAGCAAGCTGGGCCCGTACAGCCGCATCGCCGCGTCGACCCCGTTTCTGCCGGGCCGTTTGCGCTTCGATTTCGACTTGGCTCGCCGTTTGCGCGAGTAGATCGCGTTCGTGGCGTTGGTGGGCGACTCGATGTTGCAGTAGCTCAGGTCGCAGCAACTTATGCAAATCTGAAACGAAATAACCGAATTTATTTCACCCGGCTCCGTCGGTATTTCTCTTTTATTTCTTTTTTGTATTTTTTTCGTTTCTCCGTCTCTTTCTGTCGCCTCGAGATTGTTCGAGAAACCTCCTCCGGGTACACGACAAAATTCGCTATTTCGCACCTGCTGCGTGTCCATGGGAATGCAACCGACCAATCCTGGCCCGCATTCCTCGCTGCTGACACAAGCCTTGCTTACCTAGAACGGAAGGAAGCGGTGATGGCGCGCGAATGAAGGCGATAATAGAAATTTCTGCTGAAATTTTCGAACCTCGCGATCGGAAATGAATGAATACTTATCCCAATCTGAGAGATGCAGGACGGCAGATATTTTTAAAGCGATTAACGAGATGGAAAGCGTCGCGGCGATAAGATTCTTCATTCGACGCTTGCCTCTTTAGTGACGTTAATTTTAATTAAAAAGTTGGGAGAAAAATTAACTCGCATTAATCGTATAGTTAGCACTGTCACATCAGTAACGCGGGACATTAAATTATCGCGTATTACGGTCGTCAGGCGTCAGGAACGTGGAAAGTTCCATCAAAGTTCATCCGTTGGTACATCGACCGGACTCGAGAAGCGCTTAAGCTCGAGAGGGCCATCCATCTCGGCGTCCAGGCCCGAATCCATTCGCGTAACTTCGTTCATTAATAGCCAGAAAATCGATTATCTTTCTAATGTAAACCAATTAGCCACATACGATAACCATTAATTGATTTTATTTAACCGTGTGTACATATCCGCCGTCGATAGACGAAATTTACTCCGATCGCGAGAATCGACGATTTGTTATTGTTAGTTTTCGTTTGTTTTTTTTTTCTGCTTCGTGACTCGTTTCGAGAATGTTATTGATCGAATGTTATTGATCCTAACAAAGGCAACATTCGTAACTTTTTAAATTCATTCTAAAGTCTCACGTCGAAATAGAGAAATTATATCTGGGAAGAAATAACTTATGCATGTCTTTTAAAAGCAGAAAATTTATATATAAGAGTAATTCTAAGTTTAAAAAATTCAACTTTATTTACAAAAATAATGTATGGTTTTAAATGTCGCGTGTATTCAGTTTCAGTTATGTTTTTTATAAAAACATTTTTCAAATATACATTTTGTAGTCTCGGAGAGATATTCGGCTTTAAAATGAAATATGTCGAGGGATCGAGAAGCTACCATCTCTTCATTCACGATAAGGTACATATAAAAACATAGGTATCTCGCTATGAGCTATTTGATAATATATTTGAAATTTATGAAAATCGTGGGGAGGGATATAGTTACGAGCGTGCCTCTCGCGCGATGTATCAAAGCTAGCAGAGTAAGTGAAAAAAAAGTATGCTTGCCAAGACGCTGTTTCCCCGGCTGTCCAGAATGTGCATCGATTGACAGAAATCCCGGCCGCCTGCCGGACACGGCGTATCTATCGCCCATTCGTTGCACATCTGCAAGAATGGAAATGGCAGCAATCTCGATGCAAAGTTTTCATATAAAAACCAAATTTCTTATATTACCAATATCATCAACCATCTCTTTATACGAACGCCAAAAAAAGTAAGTTACGAAAAACTCATCTCTTGATGATGTCAATATAAAATACAATATAATATACGACTGCAAATATTATGTATGTATATTGCACAAATTAAAATTTTTATTCCTTCCATATTTTTAAAAATTATCGCAAATATTTTTTTCAATTTAAAAGAATTATTTAACATGTAAAAAAATGTATTTTATACTGCATTTGTTTTATTGATTTGTCAAAATATTCTTTAGAATTAATGATCTACATGTACATACATTAAACTGCGACGCATTTTTGCAGAAATTAAATTCTTTATTATTTACAAACATTAAACTGCGACGCATTTTTGCAGAAATGCGCCGCAGTTTAATGTATGTAAATAATAAAGAAAAAGATGAGAAGCGGGAGAGGGTTAAAGATAAGATTGGAACTATTACTGCGAAAGAAAAGAAACGAAACGCAATAAGGGGAATTTAGAATAAATCGAAATCGATGGCAGAACAATCTACAGAGTTCTACAAAATTGCGGCTGGACCCGGCACGATAGAGCCATTACGGGAGACTCTTAAGGGACCGTTTAATGGAGTCGTCGATATACCTGGTTATCGCTGACGTTGACGCAAGTGTAGCACGTTAGACCTGCAACAGAAAGCATCGAGCTGAGTAAGTGCGTCACTGGGACAATCGGGATGGGATGAAGACGCATTAACTCTTAATTGCACCATCGTGCTCGTAGAGATACGGGAATTCTATTTGAGAAGGAAGAAAATTAAAGGGAACATACACAGTCAGAGATTAAACGTGGTTTAGAACGTCTAGACGTCCAAGAGTTAACAAGCCGGACGATCAAGTTTAAATAGTTTGACCGCCGAGTTTGTGCTAGAAAAGGACAACTTGCGACAACTCTATCGGGATAGAACAATACGGTCATGTGCGAAACTTAATTTCGTTAACGCCAAGTTACGGCCGTGATTTTATCACGGCGGTAAAGGAGGAACTTTCGCAAGGGCGGATTGTACACGGAGGAGTGCCGGGAACATGTCATTGACAGAGAGAGGGTTGCGGTACACGTGCGAAGTTGGTAGAAAGGATAAGCGGTAGGTCGGAGATTAGTGGCGTTCGATTGCAGAATCGGCGAGCAGGGATAAACTCGAGTTAGCCCGAGTAAATCATAGTTTTCGTTCGACTCTTTTCTCTTCTCTCCGTCCATCTCTCTCTTTGCTTCCCTTCACCACCGAGCTCTCTATTCTCTATCTTATCTATTCTCTACCGAATGTGTGCGTTCGTTTTTCTCGACGGTTTAGCGCCGATACTCACGGTAGATGTCTTCCTCGTCCGCGCTGACGCCCTTCAGGCCCTCCCGCCGCTTCGTTTCTTCCTTTTCGTTTCCGTTTCCGTTTCCGGAGAGGACGTTTCTGCCGCAAGTTTCCGCAGCCAGAAGCAGTCCGACCATCACCCACGTGATCATTCCTCACATCTCTGGAACGATAGAAATGGGGTCGCGCGTTACGTAAGTGACCTCGACAGGACATTAGAGAACGCCAATTACTCGGGAGGAAGGAGGGAGGAGAGGAGGAGTGAGAAGCATTAGAGTCAGGAAGGAAAGCGATCGAACGTGAATTTTAATTCTGATCAATCACACCATATCGCGAATATGGTTCTCGAGAAAGATAAGTGATAAAGAGTGACTTTACAATTCAGGAATGTCTATATTTTTGTCACTTTCACATGAAATGTGATTGTTTGATCATTATAATCATGTCATTGAATAACATCTTTATATCAAACGAATGAAATTGGAAATTGATTATATTTATAAATGCAGATGATGATAATAGTAATAGCAGTAATTTTTGTTCTGAGAATAAACATGTTTCTGAATACAAACGGAGCAGCACATATACAGTGTAGCAGTAAAATAATATAGCATTATCGAATAAAAATAAAATAGAATATGTAAATAAAGGGACATAGAAAGAATAATAATTGTAATTGAAACCAGAAATGTATGAAAAAAATAGAAAGAAATAATGTACATACAAAAATAATAATAAGGAAGCGAAATACAAATTTGCTTATTTTGCATGTATGTACTATATTATTAATAAATGACTTTTTATTATAAAAATTACTGCTATTATATATACTAATTTTTCTAAAAGTTTGTTATATTTCTAATCGTATTAATATTATATTTCAATATGTTATATTTTAAAACTTTAAAATTTATATTACATTTTTTGTTATATTATATTTGAACACGTTTCGAGATTGAAGGTGATCGTACGTGAGAACTGTGAACACGTTCTTTCTTTGGCAAGGAAATTCGACGATGGATGTGGTATTCGGATTCGGAATTGCGAAAGGAACGAGAAACGTAACGAGCACGGCTGATTTAAAGTGTCGTTCCCGTCGACGGCGGGAATCTGCCGTTTGCGTACGTGTCGACCAACGGATAGCCTCTGTCTCGGGTGGATGTACATACATACCGATACTGGGATGTCGATCCGAGCCCGATTCTAGGACACGGGCGACCTATCGGCCGACGTCAGTTCCGTGCGCCATATTAGGGTCTCGACGAGTCAATGGATCGAACGTTGGACCTTTCGAGGTAGATAAGGTCGTGTCGTAGCTTTTCCCCTTCTCCCCACTCCCTCCCTCTCTCCCTAGAGCCCGAGAACCGCCGCAAGAAACGTTTTCGCGATGACAGGCAGCTCCTAATCGAAGTAATTAATTCTGAACTATTGCATGATCGGGGTCTGACAACTGCATTCCAATTTCAGCGTAATCAGCAAACTTTTGCGATATTATTATCATTTTTTTCATCACTGCGATACTCAATATGAATGAGAGAATTGCAATAAATTTCTATAATAAAGCGTTTATTACTTTAATATAGATGTGAGGAATCTGTTGCTCTGAATTTTCATTTCTATAACAATTATGTATATTAAAATGTGTAGGTACATATAGTTGTATAGGATTGCAGAGATTACCAAGTCTTGATGTTGTCTCGAGAGTCGAAACAAGTTTTTTAATTAGTTATTAAGATAATACCAAGACTAAGATTGTTAAGAGAAATTATTTGTTTTATCAAGATTATTGATTTTTTAAAGAAACTAAAATAAGCGTATCTGTAAATTAGATGAGAAAAAATCTCACAAAACATATACACACAACACACACATTATATTACATGCTAAATTTAAAAAAATTTATTTAATAAATAAAAACATTTATATTAACAAATTTGGAAACAATTGATATAATAAACGAAAAAAATAAACAATATAGAATTTTACACAACTAGTTGTACAAAACTTTTGCAGTATATGCGGTTTTCTCTGATTGTGTGCGGCTGCCGCATCTGCATCACTATATGTATACATATATATGTATATATACATTCGTCTTACGCAGTTGCATATAGCAGTGCAGATGCGACTCACCATACACAATCAGAGAACTGCATACATGTGTTGTATGCAAAGTTTCGTGTGGATAAATAAATATAAATTGTATGAAATTTTATATTGTTCATTTTTTATTAATTGTTTCTAAATTTATTATTATAAGTGTTTTAACATTAATTAAATAAAATTTTTTAAGTTTAGTATAAACAAGACGAGATGACAATACAGTATAATATAATTTTTTTTCATCTAATTTGTACAAGTATATTTATTTTATATATATTTTTTTATTTATTATATATATATATATATATATATATATATATATATTGTGTTTTGAGAAATAAATAAATGACACAATAGTAATAATTACTTAAATTATATATTATTTTAAATAATATTTTAAATAATTCAGTATTATATACAAATTATTGATAAAATCGAGACAAGATAACACACAAGACGAAATTTTCAAAGACAAAAATTCACACAAGATAAGATAATTTAAATTTTCGATTTTTACAAATATTGTCTTGTTTCAAATCTTGTGCAGTTTCTATACAATTGTATTATTCATTCGAGATATTAATATAAGATTGCAATCTCTCTTTTTAAGAGGAACGAGGATTAAATATAGCGGTTTGAAGAGAGAGCAGTTAAGAAGCAAATAATAACTTTTTGTTGACAAAAACTTTAAGATACGGTAATTGCATTTCGCAAGAAACATCATGAAATATACAAGTGTCGTTACACGATACGTATAATCACAGCTAATTTATAGCAGTTTTTAAGCTCGATCGCGTTACACGCTTGTATTTAATTTCATTCTTGTAACAAAACTTGGCTTCTTGATGTTCCCCAATATTTCCTTGTTTATGTCCTTTTCTGAATATTCTCGAGAGCTTGAACTCTCTTAACGGAGTGGTTAATTACACACTTACTAACTTTGCTTTCATCCATGCTCCACTTATTCATGAAGTTTGGCGCTGGATAATATATATATATAATGCACTGTATTTTTCTTCCCTCGCCGTTTCGCGACATCACGAAGGAATATAACTTTGTGGCAAAATGGCGTTTTTACGTGCATCGTTCCGAGAACCGTCCCGAGTTTGTCTTTTCCTCAGCTTCGTTTTAATTAGTTCGAGTAGCCGATGGAAAATTGTGCAAAGTGAACGGGATAGAGTTTGCGCAAAATGTGCGATACGCCCGATTCTTTTAATACGCGATACGCTTTAATTAGTAATCATAATAAATTATTCAACATCTCGTTTGCTTCAAATAATATTGTTGAAATAAAACGAGAGATTTATATTCGCTTCAATGAGATGCATCTGAAATCCTCTCTGCTCGTGTGTCGCTTGACTGCTCACAATTTCGAAGTTTAATTATTCAAGACAGACGGAAGTGACGGATTCTACGGAACGCTTTGAAGCCCATAATTTGGATGCGGCTTTGTAAATGTATATAAACGCGCACCCTGCCTTGAATCCTTGCAAAAGTTTTCGCCGTTTATGCAAACTAACCATGCATCAGGATAAGAAAATCATTTTATGTAAAATGGCTCGCGCGCGTGGAAATACATGTCACGAAACACCTGTCGCGCAAAACTTTTTCGCGAGCCTGGCGCACAAGCATCGAGTGACAAAGCCCCGCTATTTATTGGCCATGTCTGTCTGACAATATGAATATCTTTCCTCTCTCATATCGACGTATAGTGCTTTTGTTCCGTCTGATATATGTATGGGTATGTATTTTCACGGTCGTGATTGAAACTTTACGCGTAATATTGCGTTTAAAATTAAAGCAATTAACTTTCATTCGCAAAATGAATCGACTATCCATCGATGGAATTGCGCAAAATTTCTATCGATCAAATTTCAGATTAACGCGCGCTAATGATTTCAACCAGTCCCATAAACGGGACGTTGATCGAGTAGTTATGTACATCGTCGTAAGCGTTATGCGTGTCTGGCTTTTGATCGAGTATAAACGCATTTCGCGTATCGGATTACGAGGGACATATCATTAATCCTAGAAAATGTAGCTTCCATTCTAAGCACAGATTTTCAAACGGCTTAAAATTCGTAACGTTGCGCGCATTACAATCCGATGAATTATCGGAGAATGTATAAATCAGAAGTGGAAATAAATAGGAAATATAAAGAGCGCGCGATCATGCGTTAATCATGTTATACAGTTACGCCCATTGATTTTCGAGCTGTCAAACAAATTTCCGTTGTGCAATAATCACGTGCATTTAATTACCGATCGAATCAATTTAAACGGACTAATCATTAAAAATTATCGATGACGTTTCATCTCATCTCGCGCGAAAGTTGTCGACGGGGAATACATTTTTTTTTTTTTTTTTTTTTCATAAAAACAAATACCAATTTAATTCCGCATCAATCATGGCGGCCCCCGCGTCCTCGAACTCACGATTAGCTTAAAGGGGAACTATTTTTCAAGAGGCAACTTTTAAAGAATATTTTGTTATCCTATACACAAATAAAGACTCGAACCTTAATTTACACAATTTTAGCAACGATTATAATATTTAAGAAATAACGTAAATTCAAAACTTGTAATAAAATTAATATGTGTAACAAGAATTCTGATTATTTTCGTGGAAAAATTTCTGGATCAAATGTTTACGTAAAGTTTTGCATTCGAACGAATATAAAGGAGACAGTTGAAACTATTTTAATTAAATTTAATTAGTCCCATTTAATTATTTTAATTAAAACATTATCTCTACAGGCGAATTTGAACGAAATTGCGTAGAAGAAATATTTTATATAAAATGAACATTCGCCTGGCGTAATATGATCGAAACGAATGGACGTTTCAACTGTCGCTGATTAAATGAATATGAGTAAAGTTTTGACCGCAAGAAGCACGTGAGGGTGAAACGGACGAAAATGTAATTATCGCGTCGATAATGCGACAACTTTATTTAAATTATTCACCGATTAACCGCGACAAAGTCACTTGGACAAGCACACACGCGCAATTTTTTGTGACTTTCTGCAATTGTCTCTACCCTAAGTTATATAATATATTCGCGCTTTTTTGCCTACTAACACGAAAGTAATATCCGGCGCACATTTTCAGCATGTTCTCTAAATATTCGTAGCAATGAATCGGGATAATTGCGAATTCGCGAATTCGCTTCGTCTAAAGTTACCGCTGCAGTGCCGGATGTAGGTGGTATAGGCTTACCGGATGAATAGATTTACGCTGCGCCATAAATGCGTCGGAAATTGAAGAAAAACAGGTCGACGGTAATCCCGTGTTGAATTTTGTTCGCTTTTAATGCGTTATGATAATATTACGTTAGATGTACGTTTCACGTACAGTGTTAAGCGTTATACGAGAGATCCTCTTTAATCCGGAAGCGTCACAAAACCCACAAGTGAATTTTCATATATATAGTTTCAATATTTGACTATAGTCCTTGACACACTTATATATAATTCATAGTCCGATTATAGTATTATATATATTTGACTTTATTATATATAATATAGAATACCAGTTAAAAGTATTGCATTACTTATATAAGGAAATTAATTTAATAGATGAAAATATAACATAAATATAAATATCAATAAACATTTTAATAATATAAATAAACATAAACATTATCAATAAATATTTTATTACTGCTATTTTATGCTTCAATGCTATTGTACAAGCGAAACATTATAACAAATAATAACAGAAATATTAAATGTTTGATTCTATAAAATAATTTTCCTCTACCATTGGATCTTAATTTGACAGATTTTATTGTGGGAACTTGATGAACTTGATACAAGTGTCCAAAAAATGAAACCTATCGATCAAAAGCAATTGTAGGAATATTTACAAATATGTGCGAATCAGATATTAAAAATAAAATCTTACTAAAAAGAATTATCAAGGATATCGAGAATATGTGCGGCAGCTTTGAAAGCAAAGAGAGCTATTTTGAAGGATAAAAAACTTAATATTTCTGTTATTATTTGTTGCAACTTTTAATTTTAATTTTTTCTGTTATTATTTGTTGCAACTTTTAATTTTAATAATATTAAAGCATAAAGTAACATATGTCATGAGATATAATTTTAATATATGTTTTTGTTCAGTAAAATAACGATCCAAACTTCCCTGCTTCTACGAGTAATGCGATACTTTTTATACGCATCACGGTGTGAATGCACCTTTCGCACACAAATTTTTACCTATCTTTGCACCTATTTTACATTTCTTATCTGTTAGGTGGCAACTACGGCGGCGCCCGACGATTTCAAGCGGAC